TAGGTAAAACGTAATTTCCTATATGATACTCATTTAGCAAAAAACTAACTTAAATTATTCGTAACATCAACAGTACAACATTGGTAAAGTATTTGAAAAGTTTAAAATTACAACTTACAGCGCCCTCTACTTACGAGTACATTATTCTGAAACACTAGCAAATTGGGACTGGTTGAGATGCTTCATAAGATTTACAATAGATGTCACTAGTAACATTTTAATGAAACGACTGTAAATTTTACAAGTCCGAATTTTTACATTTAACTATATGTATTGTAGACTGTCTTTAGTCAGATATATTATACGTATTTATTATACTAAACTAATATTCGAGTACTTAATGTACTTAGTATTTATTTATGACTAGTTTATTATTAAGACTAACCTGTTGGACGAGTGGTGATAAACCAAAGGTTGTAGGTTGGATTCCCACCCTGGCAAAATAATTGTGAAGTGAGCATGGTCATTTTTTCTGTGCCTGGTTGTAATTTATCTGCGATATCTATGTATTTGGAAACATACTTGTTTAAGTATGCACATCAACATCATCGTGATCATAGCACATACTCAGCTTAGTTTAGGATCAGACGGCAGTGTGTGAGATGTGTGAGGTTATTATTATTATTTGGTTTTAGAGAACGCAATTCAGATCTACGAAAAACAATACATGAATTGAACCCGCGACACAATTGAGTGCATCACGTAATCGTCGAAGGGACCGCTCGTCAATTAATGTATCAGGTGAATTCTATTGCATTTGTAAGCTTACGTCAGGCATAAACCTTAATTTGTCTAAAGGACTTAATGTTTTAAAAACATAAAGCAAAAAAAATACATGTGACAGTGAGCACTGATTTATTTAACAATATTTTTGAAATATAAAATAGCCTAAACATATACAAACACAGTGGAAACTTTAACTTTATACTAAATACTTGTTTCAGAAGAAAATAAACTATTTTAACAAACTCAGATCGGTTATTTATTTCAAACACAGAAAGTATGTTATTTTTTGTTGCTGTTTTTATTTTACTTTATACGAAAACATATATTTTAATCTTTCAGCTCTTTTTAGATTCGTTAAATTCTATCTTAATACTGTTATGAACTTTATCAAAATTGGCTAAGTACAATACTTAATACATTACTTTCAACTTTCAAAAGCTAGTTATAATAAAGTCACAAACAATATATAAGTCACAGCATTTTTATATAGTATTAAACATTTTTAATGGCTAAATAATAAATACTTAGATCACGATTTAATCCGTGTGGTGACGGATTAAGAATACAGAATGTCACCACCTACCAATTCATCCCGTGGGTGTCAAGGGAGCAAACTACGCAGGACAACAGCACTTCAAAGAGAAGGAAAACTGGACACAAACCCTATACCAACCCGTCTGGCCAGCGTGGTATAGTAAGCCAAAACCTCCTTTCTAAGGAAAGCCTATATCCAGCAGTGGACTAGTAAAGGCTGTTGATAATTATAATGATCACAACTTTACAGGAAAGAAGTCCAGACGAACCATCTCGCATGCTTGGTATGAAGGTGACTGAGGTCACGTCACGTCTATGTTCCTGAAACTACTGATTTTGCTATAATTTGACCTTGACCTGCTAATTATAAACAACTAGCTTTTGCCTACCACCCGCCTAAATGTCGATAATATCGGTAAATAGTGGCCTATGTCTTTCTTCAAGAATAAAGTATTTTCATATCAAATTTAATTCAATCGGTTCAGCGGTTTAAGCGTGAAGAGGGATAGACAGACACATTTTCGCATTTATAACGTTAGTATGGTTATTTCTTTTCTATCAATATCTTTCTTTATTATCTACCTTATGTTTTCGTTATCATTCTAAACGTTCATCAATTTTTTTTATTGTAAAACGTGAGCATTTAATACGCTTTTGTCCACCCCTTCATTTATATTGACGTGAGTGTATGTATGACCTTATTACGCCTATTTAGAACAATGCTGGGAAAAAGACTTCCAATCATAGCTTATCTTTTTGAAGACTCTTCCCCATTCCCGTAAATTGCATTTCGAGTTAGTTCAGATTTACAGTTTTAAATAAACAGCAATTTTCATGGATTTTTATGGTCTGAACGTGTGTAAATGAGAATATACGACATTGTAATGTATTGTATTCTAAGTGAAGACAATTATATGATTAGAAGAATAATGGAATGACTTAGTGGAATAGCAAGGTAATGGTTTCAAGTGAACAATTATTATTGCGTGTTACTCATAACGTATTCAATTTATAGTTCAAAAAAGAGGCATGACAGGCTACAACGCACTAATTAAGATATTTAAAGATATTTAATTCTTATTCTTTTATTCTTTATTCTTTTATAAAAGACAACTATATATCCTGTGTCTCGGGGGACTTTACAAACATACATGAAACGGACACAAAGTACACCCAGACTCAGAACAACAATTTGTGGATCACACAAAGTGTTGGTCCATGTGGGGTTTGAACCCACAACACTCGGCGTAATAGAAAGCGGCGTGGCGACCGCTTTAACCACTACGCCATACGTGCAGTCAAAGTCCCATAGCGTGTTCCTCAAATGATTTTACAACACGAAGGAATAAATATTGTACGTATTATACGTTGTACGTATTATATAATAAACTAGCTGACCCACCCCAACTTGGTCTACGTCTCTCAAAAGGAATACTTTTTGCATTGATACTCAGCTCCAATCCTCGTAGCTTGATGCTATACAGACTATAGCCTTCCTCGAGAAATGAGCTATGCAACATTAAAATAATATTTCAATTAGAACTAGCAGTTCCTGAGATTACAGCGTTCAACCAAACTAACAAAGTGTTTAGCTTTAAAATTTTAAAGATTAAGATTTGAGTCGTACGACTTCTTTTGTTCCTCATTTTAAAAACCTACAGGTAATGAAGAAATTGGAGTTTAAAAGCTGCCTATCCTTATTTATATTACGCAATGGTACATTAATTGTTGCAGTTTTCTCTACGTCTGGAAGTGTGTCTATTATTTAATAGTGAAGTGGTAGTTAAGTTGTAATAAATAGTATTTACTTCGTTAAAAATAATTTTAGTACTTAAAATTAAAAAAAAAATTCTAGTTAGCTTCGTTACAGCCCACCACGAAAAACGAAAAGAATGCCGTGCAGCGTGATAACTCCTGGGGTCTTGGGTCTAGAGAACTCAAATCAGTTACAGAGATGATCCGATAATGTCTCAATCTCTTCCAAGATACGCTATTTCCTTAGTTCCGTTCGACGAGAGAAGAACCTTCAACCTGTCTCACGTAAAATTCTTTTTACAATGACTTTTAAGACAAATATTAAACTTAATGATTATTTTAAATTAATTAATATCTATTACCACATAGTGTATATATAAGTACCACAAGAACTTGGTTCAATATAACCCGTATTTTTGTGAGCAGTTACATTTATTTATCGGCGGCCAGTACAATTCTACAATTACTCTTTATTGTGACCATAGACTTGACAAACGGGGCTTGCATAATAAAAAAAAAATCTTTACATTAGGATATGTAAAAAGTAGTTTAAAAAATATATGTAACACAGTCTCTATACCTGTATCAATTTACAAATAAAATTGTTTTTTTTTTTATTTTATATCTTTATATTCGAGATCTCGACCAGGTCTCAAATATAACAAATAAAATTATTTAAATCCTATCTATATGTTAAACATGAAGATAATTCTTTGCCTCTTAAATTAGGTGCACTGCCAAAATTTGGAAGCTATATAAACAAGCCAATCTCATAAATGGGAGGTAAGATATAATTATAACTAAAACAATACATGTATTTCTGCTAAGAAAACAATACAGACATGTTATTCATCATTACTCGTATTAACGGTATTATATAAATCATCAATACTTCTTACGATATCGATTATAATCGATATAGTATTGTTTCGATGTACTATTGTTAATATCTGTTTTCTACTCGTATTTAGCTTATTATGTCATGGAAAATGTTCAGATCCTTTGCACCTAGACTTTTTTGTTTTTGTGCTCTATAGGTACAAACATAATTGGTTCTGATTACTCATTATTTCGCCATACTCTGCAGAAAGACAGATATACTCGTATATATACAATAAATACAAGACTTATCACACATACATATATTTGATACATATAATGTACGAAATAGCGATTTTATTGCCAAATCAAATCACTTGCAAACAAATTTGGGATGGATCTTAATTATTCAGGAAAATAATTTATACATTAATACGCTAAGCGAAAAGTTGCATCCCTTTTAAGAACGTGAAATTTGACACAGTTAAGGTTTAAGAGTATATGGAGAAGAAGTGTATAAAGCAAATTTCGTTATATAAAATGCATTAGAAACACATTATAGTCATGATAAAACCTTTGATAATAGTCTTTATCAAAAGAACCCCTCATAAAGTTCAAACTTGAAAACTAAATGAATTTTGATCGAATTCTAGTAACGATCACTAGTAGTAATTAATAAGTTTGGTTATGTATATTTAATAATATATATAAGAGGCACTATTTAGTAAAATAACTGCAGATATTCAAAACATTATCATCAGTATTCAATTTAAGGGTTTTATTTATTTCATTATCACAAAATCAATATTGAAAAAAAAATGAAAAATTAGAACTGTACTGTATTACTGCTACTATACTATACCGCACTGTGTTACTGTATTAATAAATACAATTGTTTGAAACAGTAATGTATGACATCATATTAAGATTTGTTTACCTTAATAACATAGAATACATACAATTAGACATACAGCTTACACAACTGTACCTGTCATTTCACTCACAAATACATTAGTATTTTAAATATTAATAAATACTGGTTCTTCAATACCGAATTGGTAGGTATCACTCGTTGTTTCTGTGTAATAATGATCTTATTCATTTAATATTCTTCTTCTTATGGCAAGTAGAGATAAGGACGTGGATAGTCTAAACAGGTTTCACGTTTAACAAGGCTTTCCAGTCAGTTCACGATATCTGAAAAAGAAAGAAAAAAACTGGTTAAAAAGTTATAAATATGTTAAAAAAGAAATCCCATACATCATTGTTTTGGTCTTTTGATATGGCTTTTCTATTTAGAGTATAGTTATTTGAATAATATAAGTAATGAAGATATTTTTAAGTTCACTACAAAAAACATTGAAGAAAATCAGTAAAAAAATACAAAATATGTTGTATGTGCTGTTGTCTTGCGTAGTTTGCTACCTTAATAGGCTTTTACGACACCCATGGAATGAATAGGGGTGGTGACTCTCCGTATTCTTAATCCATCACCACACCGACGATATTAACTTTACATAATATAATAATAATATTACACATTTTATACACGGCCGTCTCATTCCAAACTAGGCAGAGCCTTACATGTAACCAGACTGCTGATAACTGACTGCTGATAAATATACTTATAAATTTCTAAATACGTATTATAGCTAAATTACACTCAGACACTAAACAAATTATCGTAATTAACGCACAATTATTTTACCTGGGTGGGAATCGAACCCACGACCTCCAGTTTAGCAATCAGTGTCATTAAACCAACAAGCCAGTCGAAAATAATTGCTTAGAAAACTAAAACTTTCTTCAAAAAAACCAAGTAGGTAGTCCATTTATTAAAACTGGTTAAGTATATTTATTTATATATACAGTGGTAGAATTATATTCAATATGTGCCTAAGTTAAGTTACAAATATTAACAAATACAATATTTTATCAGTGCTCTTCTTAAATTGCTTTTAAAAACATTAATTGTTTGTCATAACTGTTTGTAGAAAGTATCAAAATGTATTTTTATTAAATTACGAACATGATGATGGACGGAAAGTTGACACAACTACTGTGATTATGTCAAACACACGTCCATCAAAAAGACATGTGACGTCATTGCGCTATTGCGAAAGATAAAGCGATAACAAGGTTGTCGGCCTTATCTTTGACGATGAACAATCAACAATTTGCACCTGAATCATAAGATCATCGAAGGATCTGTGCGTTTACGTACGGGTAAAATTAATGACCGCCTGAATCTTAATCTAAATTAATATGATCATCACCATCAACAGTCTTTAATCATAATTCCTCTGTATATTCACTTAAAACACCCTGCGTGATATAAAAATTAATAATAATTATTTATTGACTGAAATCAGGAATACAATATTTCCTCTCTTTAAATCTATGCTAATGTTATAAAATTAATTGGCTCTTGGCAATTTTGAAGGGGACTCATTCAGGGATCGCTTAAACCATTTACCCAAACATAGATTAAAGAATTCTGTTGATTCAGGAGTCATATTAGTCATCCATTTTTCCAAACGAATCACTTAAAACCGATAAGCGGTCATCGGATGTAATCCTCACGGCCTTATCAACAGCTGTCGCTGAGATAGTAAAAAGTATGACTCTTGGCGAATTGGTAAATCTTCGGAATCGGTATTAATCATTAAAATATGTATCTGTTATCAAATCGTGGAAGTTACAGCTTAAAACCTTAATCTACAAATTTTTTATTATTATTCATATTGCTCAAATTCTAGTATTTCGGATATTGATTTGCCACATTACTTGAAATAACATGAAATATATTATAATTAAAAAAAACGCAAATTCAAATATATTTTTTTATTTGTGTCGATTTGTAGTTGGATATTATTTTAAAGTTTAATTTAATGTAAGTAATAGTATCGCGTCGTATTACAATAAGTGACATTATTGAAAATTTGAACCATCTGGAGGTAAATTTTCGTACCAAAAATACGTTTAAAATTCAATTAAATAGTGCACGTTCTCCCGGACTTTCTGTTACACACTTGAAAAGAGACGGTTTCAGGAACTTACTCCAACAAATTGCAGAGAAGAATGAGAAAAGATTTTAAGCCTCATAAAATCATAACTTATGTATGTAAAACGGAAATTCCTACAACCTGAAAAATCAATTCGTTGATACTTAAAAATCTATTCATATGAACTATTAAAAATATTGAATCAATCTATTACTCATGTTTATGTTCAAATGATTCATGTAGGAATGTCAATTTTCAGTATACGAGTATATCGCAATTGGCTGTTAAATGGATTTAAAAACGGATTACATTTCTAGTTAGTTACTTCTACGTTTGTACAATGGTTGCAGTTGCCTCAACATTTTAAAGTTGCTTATACATTATACAAAGATTGTGAAGAATCTACCAAGAAAGAACGTGCCTAGTGCCCTTATTGCGTACAAGTATTAGGTATTATTGACATCAACATCTCACCCAAAAGACGTCCACTGTTTAAGACACAGGCCTTCCTCAAGATTCGCCACAACGGCCGGTCCCGTGCTCCCGGCATTCAACGGCTAAAAGGTTAAGGGGACCTACTAAACTAATCTAGCTTCGTCACATGTGGGCCGATTCGTCCGAAGTGAAACCTTGGTGTCACAGAAAACCAGTTTTCTGGTGAAGCAATTCTCTTTCTCTTTTTTAAAATACATCTGCCGCACTAAGAATATAATCCTGTGTCGAGGGAAACTTTACAAACATATGTACATGAAACAGACACAAAGAACACAGACTCAGGACAACAATATGTGCATCACACATAGTGACATTCCATGTGGGGATCGAACCCACAACACTTAGCGCATTAGGAAGTGGCAAGGTGACCGCTTAGACCACTACGCCATCCGCACAGTCAATTTTTTTTCACCGAATGAGTAAGGAGCATTTGTGCCTATGTCCAGCTATAGTTACTTACAATCCGTGGCCAGTCCTCTAGGACTCTATTGCATAAAAACCCCACTTTACTTTTATTATAAGTCAGGACGTTAAGTTACTCGTATATTATATCTCTTGCATTTAATTCTGGTCACTTAATTAAATATCATCATCGACAAAGGCCTCTCCTTCGAAAGGAGGTTTTGGCCTAGTATACCATACTGGCCAGAGGGATTTGTATAAGGTTTGTGTCAAGTTTTACTTCTTATTGCAGTGCTGTTGTCCTGCGGAGTTTATTCTATGAATTTAACTATTTTAATTACTATTGTTCAACTAAGAAAATGCAAAAAAAAAAAGATTTTTTAATTTTCCAATTTACTATCTTAGTATTAGTACTACATTTAGTATATACGAGTGAAGGATGGATGGATATGGATCAAAGTACTTTTTAAACAGGGAAGTATTTATTCAAAAGGTGCTCATTAATGGACTGTCAGCCGTATCTAGTTATTATACAATGTATAAACCGATATAACATGGTAGATACAAGAGTGATGAGTCATAAGAAATTACCAAGAACGAAGAAGGTCACTCTCATTCATTAAATTTTATTTTTAATCTTTTGATATTCTGTGACCACAGCATATTATGTATTATATTATATGACATTAGTCATACTCTTGTTTTTCACACAGTCTTGTTTTTCTTATACATTCAAAAATATATGCTATTTATTAGCTGTATTATATAAGACCAGTTAACCCACGAAACTTATCTATTTCCAAAGAAATATTTTTTTCCATTTTTGCAACATTTTTCTTTAATACTCGACTCCTAATGGTCGTAGCGTGACGTTTTATAAACCAGAACCTTCCTCGATAGATGGGCTATCAGATACTAAAAGATTTTTTTAAATTCGAACCAGTAGTTCCTGAGATTTACACGTTTAACTAAACAAACAAACTCTTCGGCTTTTTAATATAATTATAGAAAGGTAGTTTTAGGTATCTATGATTAATCAATTAGGGTAGGTGTAATATGCTTTTAGCTCTTTTTTTTTAAGCCGGCCGCTTGCTTTATATCAATCCGTTCTTAGGAATGTAATGATGGTTTTAAGATGCCACAACGAATGTAAGTAAATTGCATTTAAGAAATATGATAAGAAATAACAAGAATGCCGCATATCTCGAATGGGGAAGTAGGGAAATTACAGTAGCTCTAAGAGTCTGAGGCGGCGGTCCCGTATTTCCCTAATATGTTTAAGTAAGGGACACGGATATCCACTGCTTAATTAGCCAGTGTATGTTGATAGTAATGACTGATCATTATACCACTTGTACGGTTCTTAGCACTTGTAGTACTGATGCTTGTTATCTCTGTTCTTAAAAAAGTTTTAAGAAGCTTTATACTACTATAACTTAGAGATTAAAATAACCCAAAACAACTATAAAACTCGTGATTGAGCAATCTAATGTTCATAGGTAAACATTGAACCTATGCGGTCATCATCGAAATTCCCTATTAATCATTTTATTTTTTAAATTTCTTAGTCATAAATTTACTTCAATATTTATCGTTGGTAATACTTATACTAAGTCGATATTTCGATTTATATTGTGATTCATACTGATTAATAAATCATTTCTATTTGCCACCACTGTTATAAAATTTCATACGAATGGTTTCATGACAACTGTGAAAAAAATGAATAAGTTGATTTTTATTAATTTGTATGTCTTTTTTACTGGTCAATCTGCCAGCTTAACCGATGATTTTGGGACATCCTCACGTAATGAAGAGGATTAATTAAAAATCCTATCAGTGAAAGTTACGAAACATACACGGTGCAATTCAGTATGTATTCCAAGTAAGGTAATGAACCTTACTTGGAAAATATACTGAATTGCAAGGGAAGATCAGTTGTTCATAAGATTTACATACCTATATATATAATGTATATCATACATGTCCATATAATAATCAGAAGATTCGAGGTCCAATGATTTTTAATAGAAGCAACCCTAAAGTGCTTTTACTTAGCGTGCAGAAGACAGTAGTCTAATAGACATTTAAACATTGCGGCTGTTATTTTATTGCTATTGTCAGAAACCAGAGCTCTTCAAAAAGTTTACGAACTATTTACTTGCCGGTAGAGTTAAATAAAAAGAAGCTGATCCGAAGTACTTTCAATAAGGACACGTATTCGTGCGGGTATGATAGTCAAGGTAAGCGGGGTCAGTGACAGGGAACATGGTCTTTTAATTAATTTATACAACTTGCTTGAAGAAAAACTAGATTAAGCACTGCGAGATAGCTCCGTTGCAATAAGAAAAAATCACTTGAATAAAATAATACATTTAAATCAAGTGCTGTCATTTGGAGCGAGGGAAAAAATGTTGACACTTAATTTCACGGCAACTATATCAGAATAACATTGTGAGGAAACAATTAAAGAATAAAGAGGAGAAAGAATGGCCTCAAGAATTTATACTAAGTACATGTTAGGGAGAAAGGAGACGAAATTTATCAAGAGATTAGAAACTTTGAGAGGAATCGTAGAAGAAAGAGAGGAATACTTTAATCTAGAAAATACCCTTAGCTCCCATTTACCCGTTTCCTAGGGTTACCTAAATTGATTGACAGAATCGGCACTGACAGAACTAACCAGACGAAAATTATTAGATATATAGTTAATAGTCAAGAATAATGGACCGTGAAATACAATATTTAAAATAAAATATTAAAGAAATGTCCGTTATAAATCCAAATTTTTTGTTAAATACGCTAACAAATCAACGTACTCCTGTGTCAACTAACGTAATTCTGCTAAATTATTGTCAAAATTGAAAATAATATCTATGTAATTAATACATGTTTACTTACTCATCACAAGACCAACACCTGTAGATGTAAAATATTTTTCCAATAGAACATTTACCAACTCTTATTAAATATCGTTTAACTCTGTTTTTGTGTACACTTGGTTTTAAACCAGAAAAGTCAGACATTTCTTCCTTTTTTAATGCGCAATTCTTCGTATTCTGCGTAGAACAGTCTTGTAACAATACTTTATTAATTTCTTCTGCATAACATATTGACATAAGCACTAAACATATGGTACAGAGTAAAATCATAGAATTCTTCATGATGAATAATTCGATTACGTGTTTTGCTATTTTGCGATTACGCTAAGATGTCACACGTCCGCTATCGGTGAGCGATTGAATGAAACTAAATGCGAAATGATAATCAGCGACTGGATACTGATATTTAACGTAGTGTGGTGGGGTTGCGCCGGCGCCTATCTATAGCCTGTTCACACACACACACGCGAAAAGATTATTTTGTAGGTGTGGCAGCTTACTTATTTTAAGCTCCTGTTATAAAATATTACAAGTAATTCATCATTCAACCTCGGACAGACTATAGACAGAAAACCATTAAGAAGTAAGAGTTTGGGTATTTAATAAGTTTGTAATTTTTCTACATTCTTATCGTGATCATCTTTTTCTGCCCGGTTTTCAATTGTACTTAGGATCGGCGCAACATGTGTATGTACCCTTGTCAGACGCTAATGCTCCTTGGAAATGATATCGTTATTACAAAGAACAAATAATGAAAGAGAATCGCTATAAGAAAAATGAACAGGTTGAGGGACCTAAGGCAAAAGATACATAAGTCTCGGATGGGAAACCTCCTCCGAGCCTTTTTCCCAAACTGGGTTAGGGTCGGCTTTAAGTCTACTACGATACTGCTAAACTTCGATTTTTTACGCGGATCGACTGCCATCAGACCTTTACATCCCAAGAAGTAGGCCATATCGAAGTTCTGTAGGAAGACGCTATCAGTATTTTTAGGGCTTCAACTACCCGTAACGATTGCCACAAATGTTCGTATGGCAACCAGGACTGACGGCTTAACGTGATCTCTGAGGCACGTCGGAGGAAACGCTACGAAAACTTAAATAGCGCAAAGAGTATTGAACCCGTATTTTCGTTTTATGATAGGTCACTAGGGTACGAATACCAACTGGCCATGTTTTGTGTCTATCCTATGGTCGAATTTCTATTTGTTTGAAATCTGAGTTATTTAACGAGAAACTTAGGAATATATATTAAAATACTATATATATTTTTTGTTTATGAAACCCATATTACCAACGACTTATTGCCAAATTGAAACGAAGTGTTACCGAGTATTCATCCCGTGGGTGTCGAAAGAGCCGACTAAGGGAGCAAAAAACGCAGAACAACAGCACGGCAAAGGGAAAACTTGACACAAACCCTATACCAATCCGTCTGGACAGTGTGGTATAGTAGCCTTTTAAACTTTGACTGCACGGATCGCGTAGTGGTTTAAGCGGTCACCTCGCCGCTTCCTACTGCTCTGCGTTTTATGGATTCGATCCCTGCATGGAACAACACTTTGTGTGATCCACAAATTGTTGTTCTAAGTCTGGGTGTTCTCTGTATCCGTTTTATGTATGTTTGCAAACCACGCGACACAGGAATTTATTACTTAAAAAATAAAAACCTCCTGTCTTAGGTGATGCCTATGTCCAGCTGTGGACTATGAAAGGCTGTTGATGATAATGGGGATGTTGATTACCTACGATATTATGGATCATACTTATAATTTAACACATTGACATTGTGTTATTGACATTTATGATTTAAGAACCTTTTCTGAATAACTTTTAGAGTGTTATAACTATTTTAAAATAAATCCGGGGGGAATATGTCTAACTTTAATTAGTAGATATTATTACTACCATGTCTAAACCTGTATTCATAAATAAACATTGATTTTAGTATTATTATAATTGAATATCCGTCCGTGTGGTAACGGATTAAGAATACAGAGTGTCACCACCCCTATTCATCCCGTGAGTGTCGTAAGAGGCGACTAAGGGAGAAAACTACGCAGGACGAACAGCACTGCAAAGAGAAGGAAAAATTGAAAAAAAACCCTATACCAACCTGTCTGGCCAGCATGGTATAGTAGGCCAAAACCACCTATCTAAGGAGAGGCCTATGACCAGAAGTGGACTAGTAAAGGCTGTTGATGATGATGATGGTGAAAATTTGTAAATATATGCTATGTAAAACCAGATTATTTTTTAATTTTTTAAATTAAACACTACTTTTTTTACAAACCAAGAACGGAATTAGGTATTTCCAACAGATATAATATATTTTATATTTTGTATATCGTATGTATTTAAGATGCGTCATGCCTACAGTCGTATTTATTTTTTGCAAAGAAAGCATACCAATTTTATTAAAATATTATTTAACACTGAACTCAATTCATCTATACCAATATTATATAGAGGGAAAGTTTGTGAGTGTACGGGGTAATCTCCAGTACTATTTGATTTTTTTATTTGATTTTGAAAATTCTTTCACTGTTAGAAAGATATATTATCCCTGGGTGCTATAGATTACTTTTTAGTGCGATAACCGACATACACGCGAACGGAGCTGCGAAAAAAAGCTAGTCATCAGTAAAAAAAACACATTTATTTACCTGTAACATGGTATACACCAGCGGCTAAACCGAACTTTGTTTCCAGGACAAGGTTCCATCTTTGATGGATGCCGTGTATCTCTTCTAGTTCTAGGCCCAAACATTGTCATATTATGAAAAAGTTTGCCCAAACTCTTTGGATATCGAAATTCCAGAAAAACATTGTCGTTGGTAATTAAAATAAAAATCTTTTTCTTTTTGATTTCACTTGAATGAAGCAGTATGAAGTTAATTGAGTTCAATATTATTAAAATCACTAATATCCTTTTTGTCAAAATCATTTTTAACTGGATTTGTGACCGATAGTTGCCAAATTAAGTGACGTCCTCCCGTGACACAAGTTCCTCGACGACTGATCTGATCATCTGAATCAAATATTGTTCTGTGAAATTCTCTTGTCCGTAAACATAAAGTTAGGAAGTTGCAAGTTTTATTGTTTTATACATATGAGTGGTGACCACATCTTGTAATGATGTATCCGAAAACAGAAGATAAGATTATCTCTAAAAAGAAGTTTATATAAGTTTATATTTTTTTAAAGCAGCAAATCTAAATAATTAATCGGTATGGAAATAATTAAAATTTGGTTTGCGTTTGTTTATTTGCGAAAGTTAGAATGTAATTTATTTATGTTTATTTTGTATGGTAACTATGTTGAAAAATATTCTAGTGTAATAATATATGGTTCATTTTACTTTTGTGGCGTATTTTTCTTTTTATTTTATTACTAAATGTGTGCTGTGATTTCTTGAGAAAGTATCTAAATGTAGATCATTTTATTGTGTGTGTGTATCCGTGTGAAAATAGTGTTATTCCTAGTGACCTTATCCAGTTTCAGACTGGTACCAAAAAGAAAAAAAATACTTTTGTAACCATAGCTACCAAGCTTATCAGTAACACACGCTGGGTTAATACTATGAACATCTTCTTAACATCTCATTTAATTCTTTCAAACTGTTTTGGCCTTAATAGTCAATATACATACAAACATCGAATATTACATACACGTATCGATGTTAATTATTTTATCATCATTATCATCAGCCCATCGCAGTTCACTGCTGGACATAGGGCGCTCCCATTATTAGTTATTTTATAATAATATCTAAAATGAATTTTTCGGTAAGAAGTTGTTTTTTTTATAGAGGCATAAGCTTAATTTATGTAGCTTTATAGCCATGTGGTCTAGAATATTTTTCCTGTATTTGTTCTTTAAGAATTTTGTTTTTCCTTACCCGAGAGTGTTATGAGAATCACACCTATGTTTTGTAACATTATCAAAATAAGTTATGTATACCTTTTGTGTGAAAATATAATACAATAGAGTTCCTGTGTACATACAATTCACACTTCTTCATTGCAATTTGGACCTAAATAAACAGTTATTATCAGCAGAGTTTTTGGGGAGGCAGCTTTTGGGCATGCTTTTCTGCCCTTGATTCTTTGGGGTGGCTCAAAATTGTTTTGTAGTAAAAATGATCAAATTTAAATGTTTGACTGTAATGTTACAATGTGGTGTGAGTTAATTTGTAAACTAAACAGTGCATTATTAGTAATAAAGTAAGTAAATAATTTATTCTTGTTTATAGTTCGACTGGCCTGTTGGTCGAGTCCAGAACCCACGAGGGTTCGATTCCCACCCAGGACAAATAATTCTGTGATGACAGTCATTTGTTCTGTGTCTGGGTGTACTTTACCTATAATATGTATGTATTTAGAAATATATAAGTATGTTTATCAGCAATGTGGTTCCCATAGTATAGGCTCTGACTAGTTTGGGATCAGACGGCCGTGAATGAGATGTGTTAAAATATTCTATTATTATTATATTATGCCTTATCGACCCTCCATTTAAAAAGAAGTTGAGTGTACATAACGTGCGTGTCTGTTTGTCTGTGTCATAACCAACAATTGTGATTTACCTTTTTATTTTAAAATCTTGAACGACAGTGTCTTTTGTAAGTTGAAAATTTGTTAAGCCGTTTATCAAACACTTAAAGGTGTTTTGAAGTCGGAGGTAAGTTTTTAATTTATTCTTGTTCATAGTAAACGACAACAGGAGGAGTAGGCACTAACTGACACCTGTGCTTCCTGCAGACTGGTAGAAGGACCGGCTTAAGAACCGTCAGTGTCCTTGTCAACTGGGGAATAAGTTACATTATATACATTCTAGGGGGCTAGGAGGGTTAGACAGAGGTGAATAAATCCCTCTCATTTTGACGACTATAACATTAGTTATAGTCGTCTGTCTGTAACGCAAGCCTATTGCTGTTAACCGGGTACATTTATTTCGTAATACATAAATATTATAGACAAACTAGCCTTTGCCCGCAACTTCGTCCACATGGTAGTCGACAGCAGACATCGTATCTAGTAATTATACTGAGAGTTTGGAATCGATTAGTAAAAACAAAGAACGGCGTGAGGGGTCTATGGACTCCGAGTCGGCACGAAGTTTCTTTCGCTTTTTAGTAGATGTTTGCTATATAGTCAAAACAACTCCCGATTAGGAATATATCCTGTGTCGCGGAGGACTTTACAAACATACAAACAACAATTTGTAGATCACACAAAGTGTCGTCCCATTTGTCAGCGTAGCAGGAAACGCTTAAACCAC